TTCAACTGGCCCCTAGACAAAAATGTGTACCAGTTCGTGAAAATTGATGTCACACTTAACTATAAAACATTAAAATGAATTAAAATTAAAAACCGTACAAGACTAACAAAGTCCGGAGGCTCCTGACTTGGGACAGGCGCAAAATTACACTGGTTTGAAACATGTTTAGTGAGATCTTAACCCTCCTCCTATACCTCTAGCCAATGTAGAATTAACAAACCCATGCCAATATGCACAGTAAAACTCAAAGAAGTCTGAGTCCGATGTCAAAATAGGTAACAAAAGAAACTAAACACTCGACTCCAATCTTAATTGACTAGGATTGTCAGTTTTCCTATCCACGGTCGGTGGTTTTCTCCGGGCACTCTGGCTTCCTCCACCAATAAAAACTGGCCGCCACGAAATAGCCCAAAAGCGGTGCTTAAAAGTGGCGTTAAAACACCAAAAATTAAAAAAAAATCAAATATATCAAATTTAGTATAATTATATTATTTGTTATACCCCACTTAGGGGTATTATGTTTTTCGGTCTGTGCATCCATTCGTTCATCCGTTCATCCTTTCGTTCATCCATCCGTCTGTTTGTTCGTTCATCCGTCTGTCCCGCTTCAGGTTGAAGTTTTTGGTGAAGGTAGTTTTTGATGAATTTGAAGTCCAATCAACTTGAAACTTAGTACATATGTTCCCTATGATATGATCTTTCTAATTTTAGTGCCAAATTAGAGTTTTTACCCCAATTTCACGGTCCACTGAACATAGAAAATGATAGTGCGGGTGGGTCATCCGTGTACTATGGACACATTCATGTTTTTCATAAAATATAGCCTTGTTTTTTTTTAATCAGTAAATATGGAACATGAACTCATTGTTAATGAAAAGATACATAAATGTAGTCATGAAGAAAAATGATTTAGTTCGCCAATGGTGAGAATTTTTCTTGGCAATCTATCAAAGGGAATGACTTTACTAACACATTTTACAATACTCTTTGTACAAGGAACATTGTAAAAGTTTTCTTGGCTTCAATGAAAGGGTATAATCAGTTACTGTTGATTCATTCAAGATCGTGGGATACCAATTTTCGTGGATTTCGTGGGTACAGGGCAACCATGAATTTCTATGTTCAACGAACTACAAATATTCTATAGGAATGATTGCAGACTTTGACAAAACCACGAAATAAAATATCAACGAAAATGCGAGTTTTCCTTAAACCACGAAAATTGGTACCCATGAAAATAAATTAATTCACAGTATGCATAAGTAACAGATAACTTCAATCAATTGCATGTAGACACTCAGGTCCAGACATGGTATTGGTCTTGTTAATGGTCTGACACCTGAGTTTTTATGTTTCATTGATCAGACAATAATTTTTGTTTAGTTAATAGCCATTTCAAACAAAATTCATTTTGATTTCATTTTAAATCAACCTTTTTCATCACATTAATTTTAGTTTTGAGAATGATTTGTATTCATTTTAGGTAAACCTTGTGCACCTGAAGGTCATGGTTATGTGATGGCAGATGGATTTATTCACGCTGAAGTGACAGCAAGTATGTTTAATGTTTCCATCATTAAATTTATTTTAGGTAAATCTTTTTCGCCTGAAGGTCCTGATTACATGATGGCAGATGGTTTAATCCAACCTGAAGAAACAGGAAGTATGTTTAATATTTCTTTGATTAAATTAACAAATTTCATACATATTCCATTTTCAAAAATTTTATTAATATTCCTTTTTTTCAAAATTTATTCACATCATGAAATTTCTGTTTTTTTTTCAGTTTGTAAATAGATATAAGAAGATGTGGTATGAGTGCCAATGAGACAACTCTCCATCCAAGTCAAAATTTATAAAAGTAAACCATGACATGTCAAAGTAAGGTCTTCAACACGGAGCCTTGGCTCACACCGAACAGCAAGCTATAAAGGGCCCCAAAAATTACTAGTGTAAAACCATTCAAACAGGAAAACCAACGGTCTAATCTATATAAAAAACGAGAAACAAGAAACACTTATGAACCACATCAACAAACGACAACTACTGAACATCAGATTCCTGACTTAGGACAGGTGCAAACAATTGCAGCGGGTTTAAACGTTTTAATGGTACCAAACCTTCACCCTTATCTGAAACAATAGTGTAACATCACAACATAGAAAGACACACTATAAAGTATCAATTGAAATGGCTTAGCTCAATCAAAAGACATATTAACACCAGTGAACATACACTGTAAGTCTAACATTTGCCTAAATGTTAATTGTTTTGAGAACATCATTGAAATATAGATCTTTAAAATGATCATTTCCTGCAGACACAATCATCTTAAGTTATGATTTCTGACCACAATAATTAAAAGTAAAACATGAAACGAGTGTCCAATGATTTGACAAACTACAAAATGTTGGCAAGGTGACCACACTGACCCAAATTTTGGCTCACACCGAACAGCAAGTTATAAAGGGCCCCAAAAATTACTAGTGTAAAACCATTCAAACAGGAAAACCAACGGTCTAATCTATATAAAAAACGAGAAACAAGAAACACTTATGAACCACATCAACAAACGACAACTACTGAACATCAGATTCCTGACTTAGGACAGGTGCAAACAATTGCAGCGGGTTTAAACGTTTTAATGGTACCAAACCCTTATCTGAAACAATAGTGTAACATCACAACATAGAAAGACACACTATAAAATATCAATTGAAATGGCTTAGCTTAATCAAAAGACATATTAACACCAGTGAACATACACTGTAAGTCTTTTTTGCCTAAATGTTAATTGTTTTGAGAACATCATTGAAATATAGATCTTTAAAATGATCATTTCCTGCAGACACAATCATCTTAAGTTATGATTTCTGACCACAACAATTAAAAGTAAAACATGAAACCAGTGTCCAATGATTTGACAAACTACAAAATGTTGGCAAGGTGACCACACTGACCCAAATTTCATCAATATTCCAGTTTCAAAAATTGTTTACCTCATGAAATATCCTTTTTTAGCTCACCTGGCCCGAAGGGCCAAGTGAGCTTTTCTCATCACTTGGCGTCCGTCGTCCGTCGTCCGGCGTTGTCCGTCGTCTTTTTACATTTTGAACTTCTTCTAGAGAACCACTGAATGGAATGAAACCAAACATGGCATGAATGTTCCTTATGAGGTGCTGACCAAGTGTTGTTACTTTGTAGCGGATCCATCATCCAAGATGGCCGCCAGGGGGGGACTTAGTTTAACATAGGACCCTATGGGAAATACATACAAATGTCTTCTTTTAGAGAACCAGTGAATGGAATGAAACGAAACATGGCATGAATGTTTCTTATGAGGTGCTGACCGAGTGTTGTTACTTTGAAGCCGATCCATAATCCAAGATGGCCGCCAGCGGGGGAATTAGTTTAACATATGACCCTATGGGAAATACATACAAATGTCTTCTTTTAGAGAACCAGTGAATGGAATGAAACGAAACATGGCATGAATGTTTCTTATGAGGTGCTGACCGAGTGTTGTTACTTTGAAGACGATCCATAATCCAAGATGGCCGCCAGCGGGGGAATTAGTTTAACATAGGACCCTATGGGAAATACATTCAAATGTCTTCTTTTAGAGAACCACTGAATGGAATGAAACCAAACATGGTATGAATGTTCCTTATGAGGTGCTGACCGAGTGTTGTTACTTTGAAGCTGATCCATCATCCAAGATGGCCACCAGCGGGGGACTTAGTTTAACATGGGACCCTATGGGAAATACATACAAATGTCTTCTTTAGAGAACCACTGAATGGAATGAAACCAAACATGGCATGAATGTTCCTTATGAGGTGCTGACCAATTGTTGTTACTTTGAAGTTGATCCATCATCCAAGATGGCCGCCAGCAGGGGACTTAGTTTAACATTGGACCCTATGGGAAATACATACAAATGTCTTCTTTTAGAGAACCAGTGAATGGATTGAAAGAAACATGGCATGAATGTTTCTTATGAGATGCTGACTGAGTGTTGTTACTTTGAAGCCGATCCATAATCCAAGATGGCCGCCAGCAGGGGACTTAGTTTAACATGGGACCCTATGAGAAATACATACAAATGTCTTCTTTTAGAAAACCAGTGAATGGATTGAAAGAAACATGGCATGAATGTTTCTTATGAGATGCTGACTGAGTGTTGTTACTTTGAAGCCGATCCATAATCCAAGATGGCCGCCAGCAGGGGACTTAGTTTAACATGGGACCCTATGAGAAATACATACAAATGTCTTCTTTTAGAGAACCACTGAATGGAATGAAACCAAACATGGCATGAATGTTCCTTATGAGGTGCTGACCGAGTGTTGTTACTTTGAAGCCGATCCATAATCCAAGATGGCCGCCAGCGGGGGAATTAGTTTAACATATGACCCTATGGGAAATACATACAAATGTCTTCTTTTAGAGAACCAGTGAATGGAATGAAACGAAACATGGCATGAATGTTTCTTATGAGGTGCTGACCTAGTGTTGTTACTTTGAAGACGATCCATAATCCAAGATGGCCGCCAGCGGGGGAATTAGTTTAACATAGGACCCTATGGGAAATACATTCAAATGTCTTCTTTTAGAGAACCACTGAATGGAATGAAACCAAACATGGTATGAATGTTCCTTATGAGGTGCTGACCGAGTGTTGTTACTTTGAAGCTGATCCATCATCCAAGATGGCCGCCAGCGGGGGACTTAGTTTAACATGGGACCCTATGGGAAATACATACAAATGTCTTCTTTAGAGAACCACTGAATGGAATGAAACCAAACATGGCATGAATGTTCCTTATGAGGTGCTGACCAATTGTTGTTACTTTGAAGTTGATTCATCATCCAAGATGGCCGCCAGCAGGGGACTTAGTTTAACATTGGACCCTATGGGAAATACATACAAATGTCTTCTTTTAGAGAACCAGTGAATGGATTGAAAGAAAAATGGCATGAATGTTTCTTATGAGATGCTGACTGAGTGTTGTTACTTTGAAGCCGATCCATAATCCAAGATGGCCGCCAGCAGGGGACTTAGTTTAACATGGGACCCTATGAGAAATATATACAAATGTCTTCTTTTAGAGAACCACTGAATGGAATGAAACCAAACATGGCATGAATGTTCCTTATGAGGTGCTGACCGAGTGTTGTTACTTTGAAGCCGATCAATAATCCAAGATGGCCGCCAGCAGGGGACTTAGTTTAACATGGGACCCTATGGGAAATACATACAAACGTCTTCTTTTAGAGAACCACTGAATGGAATGAAACCAAACATGGCATGAATGTTCCTTATGAGGTGCTGACCGAGTGTTGTTACTGTGAAGCCGATCTATAATCCAAGATGGCCGCCAGTGGGGGACTTAGTTGAACATGGGACCCTATGGGAAATACATTCAAATGTCTTCTTTTAGAGAACCACTGAATGGAATGAAACCAAACATGGCAAGAATGTTCCTTATGAGGTGCTGACCAAGTGTTGTTACTTTGAAGTTGATCCATCATCCAAGATGGCCGCCAGCGGGGGACTTAGTTTAACATAGGAGCCTATGGGAAATACATACAAATGTCTTCTTTAAGAGAACCACTGAATGGAATGAAACCAAACATGGCATGAATGTTCCTTATGAGGTGCTGACCATGTGTTGTTACTATGAAGCTGATCCATCATCTAAGATGGCCGCCAGCGGAGGACTTAGATTAACATGGGACCCTATGAGAAATACGTACAAATGTTTTCTTTTAGAGAACCATTGAATGGAATGAAACCAAACATGGCATGCATGTTCCTTTTGAGGTGCTGACCAAGTGTTGTTACTTTGAAGCTGATCCTTCATCCATGATGGCTGCCAGATGGGGACAATGTTTAACAAAGGACCCTATGGACAATACATACAAATGTCTTCTTTTAGAGAACCACATACTTAATGGATTGAAACCAAACATGGCATGAATGTTCTTTATGAGGTGCTGACTAAGTTTTTTGACTTTGAAGCTGATCCTTCATCCATGATGGCCGCCAATGGGGGGGACTTCCTTTAACATAAGACCCTACGGGAAATACATACAAATGCTTCTTCTAGAGGTGCACTGAATGGAATGAAACCAAAACATGGCATAAATGTTTCTTATGAGGTGCTGATTAAGTGTTGCTACTTTGTTGCCCATTTACTGTTCAAGATGGCCACCAGGTTTTTTTTTATTAAATAACAGGACCAATATTAAACCAAATTTGGACTCACTCATTATTAGGGTATCTGTTATGATTTTAATCTATTTTTACATGATTTCCAAAACCAAAGTAGAATCAAGTGAGCGACTCAGGCTCTTGAGAGCCTCTAGTTTTTTAAAGTTAAATCATTTAAGCTGACAAGTTTTGTTGTTTTCAGAACATTATTGAAATATAGATTCTTATAATAGAGTTCGTGAAATTTTAATTTTCATACCCCCGCTTTAAAAAAGTGGGGTATACTGTTTTACCTCTGTATGTCCGTTCATCCGTCTATCCATCAGTCCATCCATCAGTCCGTCCATCCGTCCAATGAATATTTTTTCGTCGCATCTTTCTCAGGAACTACATCATAAGGATTTCTAAAATTTGGTTTCAGGGTTTATATGAGTCAGCTATATATACTATGTGATGCATTTTCAGATTCATCACTCAACAACTTTCTGTTTACCTTTTCTCAGGAACTACAATACAAGGATTTCTGAAATTTGGTTTCAGCGTTTATATAAGTCAGCTATACCCTGTGATGCGTATTCAGATTCATCACTCAACAACTTCCTGTTTATCGAACACTTACATTATTTTACACATGAGTAGCCAAGTTGAAAATTTTCTTCACATTTTTCTCAGGAACAATAATACAAGGATTTCAGAAATGTGGTTTCAGGGTTTATATAAGTCAGCTATACCGTGTGATGCGTTTTCAGATTCATCACACAACACCTTCCTGTTTACTGAAATATTTGGGCGGGTGTATCATCAATGAGCAGTTGTTTCACTTGTTTTATCTTTCTGGCTAAATAATTTAAAGTTATGATTTCTGATCACAATAAGTTAAACAGGAAACCAGTGAAGTGTGCAAAAAACAGTTCTTAGAAATTATGTTGGTTCCAAGATACAACAGGAAAGTATTCCACTTTTTCACTTGTGCTTATTATATCTCTAGGTGATAAAGAAGATGTTGCTAAAACAAAGACAGTAGAAATGAAGACGCATGATGTAAGACAATGATTTTTTTCAATAATTTCAATTATTTGCTGAATTTAAAGTAATTAGATCAATTATAACACTGAAATTTGTTAACATTGAACCGCTAGAAAAAAATGAAATTTGTGTAAGCAGAGGTTCTGTATCCAGTTATATATGTTCATTGTATTTGATTTGATAGTTTAACCTGAAATCAATAAAAATCAAAATACGTCAATATACAAATTCACAAGTAGATTTTTGAAAAGAGCTTT